TTTTCCTCTTTTTCCCCCCCCCCCCCCCCCTGCGATGGCTATTGGCGAGGCGAAGATGATCGTCTTATTGCGAGATGCTGCTTGATTTCGTCCCGACAGTTTGGGCATATCACTCGTCGACACACCATGGTTTATAAAGGCCCCCGGTGGAGCTCCAGCGAATGTCGCCATCGCCGTCGCTCTTCTTGGAGGTCGCGCCTCTTTTAGGTGGAAACTCGGCGACGACGAGTTCAGTTGCATGCTCGCCACGATCCTCAATGAGACGATGTCTTTGACGAAGGAGTTACTTTTGACGACGGTGCGCGTACCGCGCTAGCTTATGTCACTGTCTGTTCTGATGGCGAGCGCGAGTTTATGTTCTATCGTAACTCTAGCACTGATATGTTTCTTATGCCAGCTGAGCTCGATCTTGACCTTATTCGCACGGAAAAGCTTCGCTTAATTCCGCAAAGAAAAAAAAGAGGAGGGAATCTTTTTTCCTCGGTGCAAGCCCTCACAACCGATTGTAAAGTTCTGTGACCTCCAGACAACATGAACCAAGCGTCCTGTACACGGCAAGAGTTCTCCCTTCTAGTAGAGATCCCGACCGCACAACTTCCTGCCAGAAATCCTACCTATTTTGGCGTTGCAACTGGAGCAATCTTCTCCTCCCAGAGGAAGTCCCAACGCTACAGCAAAGGGAGTTTCCCTCTTGTGACCCCGCCAAGCAGCTGTTATCAGGAGTTATGATTCTCTCTCCAGTGGGAATTTTTCCTGCAAGTCACCTGGTTGCAGTTGTTCTGCATCTTGTGGCTGCCTCTGCGGTCCCAAGCCGCAACCTTATGGAAATCTCTTCCTGAGGCTGTTGATCTTTCGGTGACTTACACCTCTCCTTGATCGCAAGCTGCGATTGCCCTCTGCGATCCCAATCCGCGACGTTGAGGGAGCTAGTGATTCCAGAACCATTTTTTGGGCTGCCTCTGTGAATCTCTCAGTGATGGAGACGAAAAATCACGAATTTCTCTTTCTAGTCCCAACTCCGAGGGACGACTTTCTCTACGCTGAGAGGTGAATTTCTCACTCCACTGGAATATCTAGACTTATACTGGAAATCTCGATTCTTTTCTGGCTTCAGCCAAAGATGGAAAGGGGGAGTTATTTTCCAGCTGTCTTCCCTCCACATTTCAAACACCGGAAATGAAGGCCCTTTTTTCCTTGTTATCCTTCTCGTCGTTTTTTGTTGCGTTTGTTCCCTGCAGCAGTTCGGCGTCGTAGTTTCTAGGAGTCCAACTTTCCTGATTTCCTATATATTTCCAACAATTCAACTTCCTAATTTCCTACCGTCCGGCTTCCCTGATTTTTTTGCAAATCCTTACTGCTAGAGGTGCAGCTTTCCCTTGAGGTGCAACTGTCCCGCCACCTTCCCTGCAGGTCCTTCCTGCAGTGTTTTGGCGCTTGTTCCTTGCAACAGTTCGCTTCCTCATTTCCAGCAGTTTGACCTCTCTGACTTTCTGCAATTGTTCAGGTTTTCAGCAATCCAGCTCTCTGGTTTCTAGCAGTTCGGCTTCCATGATTTCCCGCAACCTTACAACATCAGTCCTTTTACCACTGCTCTGCACCCTAGCTGATGCTCGGCTTCTTGAGGGAGATCCCCTCAAGATTGACCTATTTGCTCTCACCGACGAATCTCTTCCCGTGACTAAGAATCCTAGGGATGATGTCTTTAATTGGAAGCATCCCAATCGCCATGCCAACACTATTGGATATCTTCGATTATTAGAACAAGGCTAAATTACGAAAAGGATAACTACCATGGGTTAGGATACTTGCAGACCCTAAAAAGGCAAAGGTTGGCATCATCGAGGTCCATTTCCTTCCTTTTAATCCTGTTGATAAGAGGATTTTTTTTAACTTACATTGATGCTCTATATCAATGGTACCATGCTAGCAATGGGTATTCCTCCTCTGGAACTTTTCTATCGCAGGCCCTCCTCTGGAACTTTTCTATCGCAGCCCTCCTCCAGAGCTTTCCCGACAGCGGGTCCTCTGGTGCTTTTTCTTTAATCAGACCCTCCTGTGGAGCTTTCACAACAACAAGCCCTCCACTTGAATTCTTCATGCAGCACGTCCTCCGGAGCCTTTTCCTGCAACAAGGTCTGCCTTCTGAGTTTCTTTCTTTTCTTCTGCAGGCCATACGCTATAGTTTTTCCTATTGATAGTCTACTTTCTTGCAAACTCCCTTGCAACATTACATGTAGGAGTATTTTGTTTGTTTACAGACACTGCAGGAACTGCATTCAAAGACAATTACAATCAACCTGAAGTCAGTTTTTCATATTAGATGTCTAATTTCCTGTAAATCCTCATGCAACATTACCTGTATGAGTCTTTCACCTACCTGCACACTGCAGGTAATGTTTTTCAGGTAATGTTGCATGAGGATTTACAAAAGGTAATTGTGGAATAGCAAGGGAGAGAGAATGTGGGAGGTCGACGGAGTTTGAAGGAAAGGAGAATTAGCGGATGTCCGGGAACAGCAATTCAGTAAGGCACAGCTGTCGAGAGAGATCGACCGCCTATTCCTGAATAAGTTACAAACACGTCATTTGCAAAAAGAAAAGAATAAAACACTCCTTAGAGCAGAGAATTAAAGAATACAATCTCCAAAGACAAACCAAAGCAAAAGTTCCCCAAATAAGTCCATAACGAACATATAAATAGTTCTCAAATAAAATAAACCTAAATTTAATTTTAATAATATAAAATTGGGCTCACAAGAACTAAAGAGAAAAAAATAGCAAATCGTTTTGTGCTACAGCAATGAGACGAATGCGGCTCAATTTTGCATCCCCTGGGACACTGCAGGAATTGCATTGAAAGACAATTACAGTCAACTTGAAGTCGGTTTTTCCTGTTATATGTCTAATTTCCTGTAAATTCTCATACAACATTATCTGTAGGAATTTTTCACCTACCTGCAGACACTGCAGGAATTGCAGTCAAAGACAACCGTAGTACGGGAGGAATACTTCATGTTGTACCTCTCAGGATTTTTCTTCATTGCTCATTTTTTGGTGATTTCAAATCCAAATTGAGCATGATTTTCAATCTTGTTTCAACTTGAGGTGGAGTGTTGAGAGTTGTACTAGAAAATAATTTATTCTTGCAAAAAATTTTGATGAACAAAATTATTTCTTTAATTGGATTTATTCAATTTCTTATTTTAGGGTTTCCTATTTTATGTCGTTTTTTTTTTCCAAAATAATTAATATGAATTGATTAATTGGAGACATTAGGAGTTATATCTTTCCTTGCATATTATTTCCTTTTTATTGTCTTTCTTATTTTAGGAATTATGTAAGCATATCAATGAAAATTTTGCATTATTCTGAATTTCAACAAGATCTTTTGATGTAATATTAAAAAATTAATTGTTATGCATGTAAATTTGAAAATTAGATGTTAGATATATAAATACATAACAACTGTGTGGTCTGTTTATAAATTCCCCTTTATTCTTTTATCTTCCATTTTTCTATATCTTTTTTATTTCGCCCATCAATTTGTGAATGACAAAGTACTTTAGAAAAATCCGTAGGCTTATATCTGGATTATCATTAATCAAAGTTGAGCTACAAATATTTTTCAATGGCTGTGTTTTGAGTTCACGACTAAAGCCAACTTTTATATCTTTATTTTGGCTTTTTTGCCTCCCTTTCTTGCTCATCGTGTTGACATTAAAATCATAAATTGAGACAAATTTTATTTCAATCCCTATCTTTGATATGCTCTGTCACCGTTTGTTTCAGATTTTTGGTGCTATCGTCAGTTATTATCTATGTATACTATGCTCAAATTCTGAAAATTGACGAAGAAGAATTTGGAGGCCACGGGACATTGCTTCAGGAGGGGCTATTTGCTTCATTCTCTCTTTTCTTGGTAACAATCTACATCCACTTCTTCTCTATCATCCTCTTTTGAATTTTATATTCACTTTGTAATTGTCTATGGTTATCGTTATTCACGCTGAAAATTAGAAAAAAATTTCTTGAGAATATCTTGATCTAAATTTGATTCTTTTGCCATTCTATTTGCTTTAAGATGAGATATAATTTATGAAGAATGTTCAATTTGCAGCTTGCCTGGATAGTAGTATACAGCTTGGCACATTTTTAGTAGCGTCTGCCCACATCTCCCATTCAAGAGTCGAAACCATCTGCGGCCAACACATTTTAACCTGTTGTATTATCACAGATTTTGGTCCACAAACAACTTCATAGCTGCTCTTTTATTGCTTTCTTTGCATCTTTTTGTTGTTCTTTTTATTTGGATCTTCAATTTGGAAGGTAGAGGCAATAATGCCAACTTTGTAAGCATATTTCTGCGGCATTGCAACTCCCAAACTCTCAAGTTTTTTTTTTTTTTTTTTTTTTTTTTCCAAATTTTAAAAATAGTGCAATTCTCTCGCTTTATTTTTGTAATAACTCCTTTTTTTCTCTCTCTTCAAATCATTGAGGTTCAGCAAATGAAGACTATGGAATACTATACATCCTCCCCACCCTCAGGTTTTTTTGATGAGTAGAACTTTTATCTGTCTAATATTGAAATATATATTTTGGACATTGGAATAAAAGGCTTGCTTTCAAAAGAAAAAAAATAATAAGTTAACACAATAATACTAATAATATGATGGGATGAATTAGTATTTTAAAGTTTAAAGATATGTAATTAAATGCAAGCACTTGTGATTTTGTATGATATTGTAGAAGTGAGAAGGTATTTATTCTTAAAGAAAAAACTAACTTTTTGCTTCAGTCTTTTGTTAAAAAAAAACTCCCATCAGAGCTCGTTACCTTTGCTTGACAACGATAATTGATATGAAGTCCTTGAAGAGAATCAAATTTACTACAAACATGTTCTTTTAGTAAAATCAGGTAAATTAATAGAAGATAGTTTTAAGAATCCTCAATTCGATCGATGCTGTCAAAAAAGAACATAGTTTTTAAGCAAAGTAATATCCTTTTTAAAAATAAATCAAAATTTTTAAACACTTAAAATAACTTCAAAATATTTTCAGAAATAATATTTTTTTTTATTTTAAATTTAATATATATTTTATTTTTCCTTGAGAGTTTAAAATAACTGAAAGAAAACATTAAATTGCTTCTACCATTCTAATTACTTTTTAACTCTTTTAACTCACACATTCAATTATTACTGCTTGAATGAAGATGAAAAATATAGCACAGTTGAAATGGAAGAAAATCCAAACCAACTCATATCTTTTTTGAGTGTTAAAATCGGATAAAAAATTAGCTAACCTAAAAGTTTTAATTTTTAGTACAAATTATTTTAGAAAATACAAAAAACATTAATCATTAATTAAAAATTTTAGACTCCCATGTTTTTTTCATTTCTTTTTTAATTAAAAACTGATAAAATTATTTATCTAGTCAATGCATAAACAGAATAATGAATAGTAAGATTCTAACGGCATTAATGCTTCAAAGTTAAGATCGCATGCAACGCTTCAAAACATTTAAGAAGAGCTAAGACCACGGCAAGAAAAAAAGTGAGCATGGAAGCAAAGCCTCATAAAGACAATGAATAATACAGATTGCTCAATAAATAATTCAATAAAAAATAAAAAAAGCAACATACCAGCTTCAAACTACTTTCCTTCAAAATATCATAAAATTTGTTAGAGCAGAGTCCACTTACATCAAATTTGTTGTGCTCTGACACTCGAATGTGTCGCAAAAAATAGCTTGCAGCTGTATTAGCCAAAATGGTATAATAATTGAAAACAAACGAGGCATCAAAATATAACAAGCTTTGTGCATTTTCAGTCATCCTTTATTCTCTTTAGTGCTTTGCTAGCCCATGCCCGTAGCCGCCGCCTCAACGTAAATCCGATAAACACTCCGACTGCGAAACTAATGGCACACAACTTGGAGCATGTCCACAGGGATACCACATTCCTGCAAAATAGTCGGAGATCCAAATATGATTCAAAGTGGTAGACCTAAACCTCATTTTTTACATACATACCACCTTACCTATGCATGACAAGGAGTATTTCATATTTTAAAAGTTAAAATGGCAGTACGTTTGATATGACATGAAAGATTTAAGGGGTATAAATTTACAAAGTTTAAGTGTCAGATATATATATATATATATATGCATAAGAATTGGGCGGTATGTATGTATATGTAAATGCCCCTTTAATCTACGAAGTAGTAGAACACATGATACAAATTGACACTTATGGGATGCTCTGTTTTCGAGCCATTCCCTAAAATATATAAATGCATTTTTCGCATTGTAATATATGTTAGCATAAGGGGTCATGAACCTTCAGCGCGTGATCCAAGATAACAAGAATTACTCGAGAAACGAGAATTAAAATTAAAAAAAAAAGCCATGAAGAAGATTAAATTCTTCACAACATTAAATCCCAATATGTGTAAAGAAATAATATCAATCTAGAACATGATCAAACTAAGTCAATTAGAATTTGATGAATCCTATAAATCCAAAATTTAAAGAAGCTTGAGAACATTAAAACCAAAAAATTAGATGTCATGACAATTACTAAATCTTACTACATCCAACTAGATTGTTTTTTCGGGATTTATGAAGTGCAGATGGAAAATTTTTACAGCCATAATATCCTAGGACAAGTAGGCTTAGTAAATCATGGATTTAACAAATAACAATGTTGAAAGGTTGAAATGGGATTTATCAAAATCAAAGAATAAAAGGTCCCAATATTCAATTTGGTAGAATTTAAGCTAAAACTTGCTTATTTCCAGCCTAAACATAGGATACCGTATGGACTAAATTAGGACGTTAACTCATATAGGATTTGCAAATCCAATAAATCAAAATATTGTAAATTTTGAGACAAATAAAACTAGAAAATAGTTTCACATGACAACCAATAAATCATAATAAATTTTTTAGTTATTTGCTTTAGAATTTATGTTTAGTGAAAGGAGAAATCCTTAAATCCATTAACACCTATGAATTGTGTGATTTAAAAAATCCTGAATTTAAACATCTATGGCTTTAAAACATGATTTATCAAGATAGTGGGATTTAACTCCACTAAAGATATGTTTGGTAAGATATAGTTTTGCTTAAATCACGCCTAAAATAGAATACCAAATAGCCCCCAAAAACTTCTAACTTTTGCAGTTTTATCAAATAGTACAATAATCCACTCAAAGTTCTACCGACCAAAAACTCTTTTTTTTTTTTTTTTAAAGAAAAACTACTTTTCAAGAATATAGATTTCGAAATCGGTTCTTCTTTCAACATTTTACATCTAGATGTGCAAACGGTAGAGCTAGTCTTAGATATGTTTAGAGTAATTGTAGCTTAATAATAAGCTGTTGCGCAGAAGCTTTTGCAGATAAACTTGTTGTCTGTTTGTTATTTACAGTTTTAAAACAACTATGCTACAACTATTTCTGGAAAAATGATTATTATGCTACTGTATAGTAATGTTTGCATCAAAACTGTTACACCAATATACTTTATACTTCAGAAGCAAGAATTCAGTACAGAACATTACAAGAAAAAAAATATACAGTATCATGATTATTAAAATTAATAAAAATAATATTAAAATAACATTTAATAATATGATAATATTATTTTTAAAATGCAGACAATATATGTCACGAGCTAAGTCGTCCTCTAGAGATACTCTCAATGCCCGATCACTCTCGCCGGTAGAATCTTTCAGCCTATCTGCCCACCAAAAAAAGTCACAGTTTTGTGTGATTCTCCGCGGGCACTTGTAAAACTATCTCTCGTAGCTATGTGGCTGACGTGAGATTAGTAGGGAACTTTGAAGTTCTTGATTGCCTTTAAAACACAAATGTGTCACATATGCATATCACCAAAAAAACAAGTCATCCAGACGAGCCTCGGAAAACCACGACACTGAAAAAATGAGAGGATCTTAATTGCTTCCATTGAGATTTCACATGTGACAAGAACTAGTGGAGACAAATAGATCATCCAAAAGAACTCTTAAGATCGAATGTCTCACCACTGACCTCCAAAAAAATAAAAATAAGCATGCAATAAATATTTATATACCATATTATATCCATGGTTGCCTCTTAAGCCATCCAAGTAGGAAATAATACAGGCAAAGAAGCGAGAAATAAAAATTAAATTCAAAATTTAAATGATTTGACAGAACATTAATACAACAAACAATGATAGTTTTCACCATCCATCGTAAATAAAATAGCAATAAGAAGAAAAATACAATCGGTCCATTTAGCATCCAATAATAGCGTCTGTAATCTACTATCTCAATTCAATCATTTCCCCAGCACCTTCGTCATCCTGGATACAACCCTCATGCGATTCTATTTAAGTCTATGGTATAGATTGTCCTATGTGATTCAATTGTTTCTGGCGGGACATGTAAATAATTATCATCGCTCATGCTGAAGTCTACGTCATTGCGCGAATGATGCCGCAGAATATAGTTGTGCAGAGTCATTGTGACCACTCTAATTTGCACATATTCGAAAATGAATATGTTAGCATATCACGCAGTATGACCTATTTTTTCTTCCACACTCCAAATTTTCTTTCAATTACACCACTTAAGGATGAGTCTCTTGTTAAACATTTCATTCCTACAACGAGCAACATCGTTGGGGCTTTCAAATTCGGGAATGTGATATTTATTATCCAAAAATTGCTTTAGATACACATTCTGTAAGGGATATCAAGTATCGAACAAATAATATTTATGTGTCACGAATACAATAGTTAGTAACGAACTTAAAAAATATCTAAATATGATTAATTGTTGAACAAATCTAGAGGTGAGTGACGAAAGTTGTGCTTTTGATTTCTTGTGGCAAAAGCAAACATATAACTGTCATGTGCACCGTCTTTCTAACCAGTCATAACAAAAGTAAAACACGTGTTGAAATCACATACAATTATCACATTTTGTGTTGGTAATCCACACCGCCCAATGAATGCAACCCTTTCATTATTAGATACGCGTGCATCCACGTGTGTTCCATCGATCGTTCCAATACAATTCTAACAAATTAGAGAGGATGTGTAAATTACACTACTCATTTTGACTTTTGAATATAATGAGTAAAAATATTTATCTTAAAAAATGACATATCACGTGTCATTTGCAATCTTTATAGGAATCCTCTCAAATATTAGATTCTCTGACTTGATAATCTTTGATAACAAATTAACAAGAACATTCAACCCCACTGAAAAGCATATGTTGCATATGTTGTTTGTCTCCGATGAATGTTGAAATAACTTCATTGCCCCTCTTATAGATTCATTCTGTGACAAAATATAGAGGATTATTGCTAACAGATCTCTTGTTATCATTCTAGAGGAGTCATGAAATCCATGATTCCTATGTAATTTATCTAGAGATCTATAAATATAGGTTATGTCATACGAAACATGTTGTTAAACAAATGCTCTAATCAGGTAGGACATGTGAATCAAACAACTTAAATAAACTTTGAATAACAAATTACAAAGTGTATGATGAAAAGACAAACATCCAAAATAGTACTAACATTGTTCCACGGAAAAAGAAAAAACATCTAAATCAGAAATCTGATAAACCTACTGAAAAATAAATAAAAATAGTGTAAAGATAACTAAATAAAATCAAGTTTCTCTACTATCATAAAAAAAACGTAAATAATTGACTCTACGGTCATGGGTCATCTTCATGAAGAACTCTCTACGAGTTGGGTCCTTCAGCCATTTCATAGAGTACAAATGTAACGACATATTCGAATAAATTTATGGACTTGCCTCCATAATTCGGATAACTTGTTTGATGGAGGTCCTTTGTGAAGTCTCAGGGTCATTGATGCATAAAGCCACTGGTTTTGATATTTGGCTTCTAATGAAAGCAACCCCTTCTTTTTTCTTCTTCTCTATCTTTGGACACTTTGAATTGCATGTAGATCTACTTTATTTTGGTTTGGGCTAGGGCCTTCATTACTGTCAGTTGCATGCTCGACATCCAAGTTCTCAGGTATGCCTACAGACCCTTGCTCACTAGGGGTCCAAGCATTATTCCTCGTTGCCACAATCTCACCAAACATACGGCCTAACTTCTCTTCCAAATCAGGGTCAATACTACTGATTTGAATTTTTTGGCGGCTGACACTACCTGCAATATTAGGGAACATGGATATGTTCATACAGTTCATGAAAAGAAAGTCATCACGAATATGTTCTCACCTCTATTATCTTAGTCCACCATTTCTTTGGAGTATCAATAGTTTGTTTGATTGGATCTCAACCCAAGTCTGTGGATCCTCGTTTCAATTCCTTCTGGACTTTCCAATCTTTTTTCAATTGATCCCAATTGTTTTTCAATTGCATCTTATTGTATTCCCTTCCTGTCATTTTCTTGAACATCTTCATAATATTTTGCTATCATTCTTTATTAAAATAGGTGGTGGGTCTATTTCCCAATTCGACCTACTTAAGACAGAAGTCGCAAAGTACAATTGACTTCCTTATCCCACATAGCTGATGAACTGACTTCATTTGTCTTAACCATTGTGTTACTAACAAAGAAAAAAATATAAATATTTAACAAAAGAAGTAATTAACACAAAACAACACCTCCACACAAACACAACCACAACCACACACCAACTCCTCCACACCTCCACACAACACAACCACACACCAACACTTCCACACCTCCACACAAACACAATCACACACCAACACCTCCACACACCAACACAACCACACACCAGCACGTCCACACAAACACGACCACACAAACACCTCCACATAAACACAACCACACACCAACACTACCGCACCTCCACACATTCACAACACCACCTCCACACGCAAACACAAACGCAACCACACACCAAGACATCAACACCTCAACACATCAACAATACCACACATAAATCGGAGA